ACCTTCTCAATTGTTGCTCTGTAATCCTTTCACAAAGAAATGGGAATAAATCAAAATGATCCTGAGAAGATTTACAGGTAGTCCTCGACTTACGATTACAATTGAGCCCAATTTTTTTTTGTTGCTTACTGAGACATTTGTTGAGTTCTGCCCCCTTTTACCGCCTTTCCTGCCGCAGTTGTGACATGAATCGCCGCGGTTATTAAGTGACTAACATGGTTGTTAAATGAATCGGGCTTCCCCCTTGACTTTGCTTTGGGAAAGGGGATCAGACTGCAACAGTTATAAGTACATGCCAGTTGCCAAGTATCTGAATTTTGATCATGTGACCAAGGGGATGTAATGGTGAAAATCTGGTCATTAAGTCTCTTTTTTTGGTGTCGTAACTTCAAGAGTCCCTAAAGGAAACTATAAATTAACAATATCTTCATCATACAAAGAAAACCTGTATAAAATGTTTTACCGATGGTACTTGGCTCCAACGAGATTGGCTAAAATATATCCTAATACAAATCCAAAATGTTGGAAATGCCAACAAGTTGATGGTACCTTCTATCATATGTGGGGGTTATGCCCCGAGACTAAGACATATTGGACTAAAATTAAAAATTGGCTACAGGGAATCACAGGCTACCAAATCAAATCTAAACCAGAACTTTTCCTACTAGGAATTATTACAGATCAATATCCAAAAATAAAATAAAATATATAATTTTACATATCTTAACAGCGGCCAGGATAGCTTTCGCACAGATGTGGGAAACTCCCAACATCCCCAGTGAGGAATTAGTCCAACAAAAAATAATGGAATGTGCTGAAATGGACATGCTCACATTAAAAATAAAAGAGGAAGAAGACTCCGAATATTATTCAATCTGGCACAAATGGTATGAATGGATAGCGAACAGGTATAAGAAATAATATGTAAAGACTAACTGTAAGAGACCTTAAGAAAATGATTTGTAAGCATGTAAAATATATAAGAATATATGATAGAATCAATTATTGACAAAGATAATAGTTATTGATAGTTGCATATTAAATGTATTAAGACTTATAAGTTAACAATATTTGTAGATGTCAAAACGCTGTTGAAAATATGACTTTGAGTTGTATTGGTGGAAAACACAATAAAAATCTATTTAAAAAAAAAAAAGTCCCTAAAGGAATGGTCGTAAGTCAAGATTTATCTGTACCATGGGAAAACGGATCTATTTGCAACAGAGGTGTAAAGGGGGCATAATTTTAACCCTTCCAGGAAGGAATGGGAAGAAACAAAATTATTCAGAAAAGATTTATTTGGCCGTCTGTAAGGCAGGAAAAGACGAGCGCCAGCCCAGTGAATTTCACTTCATAAAAAAGACAAGGTTTCGGGATGAAATGTACTTGCAAGATTGATACCGAACGATGCACCATCTGAAGTTCTGCTTAAACCTGGACTTTTTTTACTCTCAAAAGACCCACCCGTTTTGAGCAACCTGCCACATTTTTGCACCAGTTCTATAAACCAGCATCGTTTTGAGGGTTTTTTGTTTTTGCAAGCCTCAAATTCTCAACAGGCCAATCCTGACCTCTTTATTTAAGCTTGGCAGTTGCTGTCATGCTGCTGGATAATCTATGTTGGGTTGCGTTAAGCAACCATCCTTGTCAGCATGTTATAAAGAAGCACAGCCTCACTGAAGGATGGTCGGAGAATCTTTCAGAATAACAGATGGGAACTTGGAGGTCTTCTAGTCCAAGCAGGAGACCCTCTCCCATTGACCCTATCCCAATTTCTGGAGGCAAGCAGTTCCACCGATTAATTGTCCTCACTGTTAGGAAATTTCTCCTTAGTTCCACAAAGTAAATCAGCAATAAGTCTTCTGAAGGATTTCTTGACTGTAAGCTGAATTAATAGTTTCAGGGTGGGGTCATTGGCACTATCTGAGCTTGAATGGTTTTCTTGCAGACGTTTCATAACCATACTAGTTAATGAATGCAGTGTTCCCGGGGTCCCCTTTTGTGTCCTTCTGACAAGCAAAGTCAACAGGGAATCCGGGTTGACTTAACAACCCTGTGACTAACTTAACAATGGCGGTGATCCACTTCACAACCGAGGCAAGGAAGGGCGTAAAAGAAGGCAAAATTCACTTTCGCTTAACAACAGAAATGTTGGGTTCGACTGTGGCCGTAAGCCGAGGACCACCTGCATTCTGTATTCTAATAAGGTTCTCTAAAAAGAAGGGAAATATTAAAATGTCTGATTCCCCCATTAAACACATCGCGGGGAGCGAACTGTTGGAAAAGTGTAGAACTAAGGGGAAATTTTCTGACAATTAGAACAATTAACCTGTGGAACTGCTTGCCACCAGATGTTGCGAATGCTCCAACACTGAAAGTTTTTAAGAAGATTTGGACAACAATTTGTCTGAAATGATATACGGTTTCCTGCCTGAGCTGGAGGTTGGTCTATAGGACCTTCAAGGTCCCTTCCAACTCTGTTATTCTGTAATTCTATTTT